CTGAGGAGATTCCTCAGAAGATAGAGGTGCTAGTTGAAGGACAATGTTACTCAGTGTGGCTGGCTTCATCCATTGAATCGGTGCTCTGGAAAGAGGCTCGTAGGGAGGGAGATGAGAAGGTTGAAGAAGAAGAACTGCGTGGCAAGAAAGGGTTGGATGATTCAAACAAGAAAAGAATTTTCACTAAAATGGAAAAACAAATGCTGGAGAAACAAAAAGGTAGCATTCAGGGGGTGGGATTTTCGCGTGTGGAAGCAGTGAACAGTCTGGAGGGTGTCATGTCTTTTGCACAGGTTGTAACCGGCGCCAATCTGACTTTTTTGAACAAGGAAAAGGGGTTGGTCCAGGGAAGAACTGAACCTAGACCTGATAAAACCAAACCGAGCCCGGGCTTGGACGTGCGTGACCTTTTTAAAAGTCACGTGAGCTCGCGGGTGTTTAAGAATGGGCCAAAGCCAAAGCCCATGCGGAATGTTAGTGGTGTTATTAAAGGCCCAAACGGGTCAGCGGGCCCGACCCAGTATGTTAAAAAGACGTGTGAGCCTTTAAAGAATCACGTGATTGGGGTTTCGACGAAGATAGACGATGTTAATGGTCTATCATCATCCCCAGTCGTGAGACAGGGGGGGAAATGTGCGCAACGCCGGAAACCAGAGAAGAAGCAGGCTTTGCAGTGGGTTTCCTGACGAAGTCTGAAGGAGCCTAGTCCCCTGCGACGCTCCTCAGAGAGGCCGAAGCCAAGTTACGCTAGGGGAAGATCTGAAGAGAAGAAAGAGAAGTTTGAAGGGTGGGTGCAGTGCGGTGAAGACGATGGTGAACCGGAGGACTTTTCTGTCGATGGCTCTAGCGTGGGCAGTGTAAACGACGAAGGTAGTTGTGTTGGAGGGGACTTGGATGAGTGGAATATTGCAAGCTTATTTCAGGGTGAAGATTGTAATCGGCTTAACTCATTCCCAAGACCACAGAGTGTGCAAGGATTATCAGAAGGGGCAAACCGGGAGAACCGGAAGCAGAGCACGAACACACCATCTAGGGGTGAACCAAGGGTAGAGTGGAAAGATCACCAGGTTGACCAAAGGACAAAAGTACTTCCCAACCAACTCAGGGAGATAAATGTTTACCAACCTCCGGAACAAGAGAGGGAGGCTGGGAATAGTCCGTTTCTAGCTTGTCCATTAGTCCCAGGTAACCAAGTGATTTCGGTTTGTGCTACTAATGTGTCTCCTATGCCTCTGGTTCCAGATTTTGTTTCTGTTCCATGTCCTGTAGCCCATGAATATGCAATCGAGCTAGCAGGCGGCCTCTCCGAGGAGGGGGAGAGGGGAAGGAAGGAATGTGGGAAGGTGCGGGAAGGAAGGTATAGGAGTGAAAAAGTGTGGGAAATCATTGAAAGAGTGTTTAAGGAAGTGGAAGGAAAGCTGATCTGGAGGAGGGAAGGGGAGGAAGGAAGAGGGGAGGGATTAGTGGAGAGGAGGGAAAGGAATGAGGGTAGAGATGGAGAGGATTACAGGGAGAGAGCAGTGAAGGAGGGAGGTAACAGGAAAGGGAGGAAGGATGGAGAGGAAAGAACAGAGGTGAGACCAGAGGATAGGAAGAAAGGGCAGGTGGATAGAGATGGAGGGGATTCTGTAGGAAGGGTAGGGGTGGAGGACTCGGTGAGAGAAGACACGATAGCAGAATTTGTAGGGAAGTTGGGTTGTAGGCTGGAAGATTTGAATGTGTTGAAAGAAAGCTTACAAAAGAGGAAGAAGAAGATCAAAACAAAGAAGAGGAGATTGAGTGAAGTAGAGAGATTGAAGAGAGATGTAGAAGGAGACAAGAAGCTCGGGGTAAAAGGAGATAGAAGGAAAGGGGAAAGTAGTGGGTAAGTGGTAAGGGGTTTTAAAAAGAAGTGGAATGAAGATTCTTAGTTGGAATATGAAGGGAATTGGGAGTGCAAGGAAGAGAGCAACAATAAAAGAGGTAATAAGACGGTATGACCCAGACATTATGTTGTTGCAAGAGTCTAAGAGAATGGAGTTTAATGACAAGTGGGCAAGGAGTGTATGGAAAGCCAGGGGGATTAGCTAGGTGGCTGCTCCCTCGTGGGGTGCTTCAGGGGGGATTGTAACAATGTGGAAGAGGGATGTGGTTGAAGGTCTGGAGGAGTTGATCGGAAAGTACTCGATTTCCATGAAGTTTAAGCAGTAAGAGGATGATTATATGTGGGTGCTCACAAATGTTTACGGACCGAATGACTACAGAGAGAGAAAGGAGTTGTGGGAGGAATTGGCTGATGTTAGAGGGTTGTGGGATGGACCTTGGTGCATGGGTGGGGATTTCAATGTGATCAGATTCTCGGAGGAGTCCAATAAGGTTAATCAGAGGGTGACAAAAAACATGAGGAAGTTTAACAGTTTTGTGGATGCCTTTGAGCTTAAAGAGATTTCCCTAGCCCATAAGACATTTACRTGGTCAAATCTCCAATCTAGACCCATTTGCTCTAAGCTGGATAGATTCCTGTTCTCTTTGGATTGGGAAGAACATTGGGGAACYTTGGCTTCTAGAGCTCTCCCAAGGGTGACCTCGGATCACTAGCCCATAGTGTTATGTAAGAAGGAAAGAAGGTGTGGAGGTCCTACCCCCTTTAGATTTGAAAATATGTGGTTACTTCATCTAGGGTTTACTAACAAAGTGAGGAAGTAGTGGCATGAGTGTAACCCGCTGGTGGAGTGGGAGGGGATGAGATTCCATAAGAAACTACAATTCTTGAAAGCAAGAATCAAGGAGTGGAATTTGATRGAGTTCGRRAGGATAGAAGAAAGAAAGGGAGATCTGATGGATAAGATTGAAAGCCTTGACTCTAAAGAAGAAAGGGGAGAATTTGGAGAGGAAGACAATGATCTCAGGAG